TATTGGTGCATTAAGCAACACAATCTAACAGTGCATTCAATAGCTATGACACTTTTGATTTCGAGATGAGGGATCTCAAGAATCATAATGAGGTCTGAATTTATCTGTAATTTCCATGATGACAAGGTCACAGGGGATGTTGACTCAATCGTGGTTGTCTGCCCACATTCAATGTTGACAGTTCAATGAAAAGTTGGTGAAAATTTTCCATTCAACAACCCAGGGAACTCTTGGGTTAGGAAATCGCAGGAGGTAGGGATCCCATGTGCCATGGTGTGGGAGGTTGGTCCCACTGTGGTGGAACTAACAGGTGGTGCAGCCCTGTGAGGGGAAGCGAGGTCCCTGAGGGTACAGCCTTGGGGTTAGGGCAACTCTTGTGGGACCCCAGTTAGTTCTGCTGACAGTGAGTTGTAGAAGAGTGAGTCTGACTGCTCCACACTCTCCTGTATCACCATGCGACCTCTCCTTCTCAAACAAGCTCCTGCCATGACACTGTCCACTGTGATACCATGCACCCAAGGGGCCCTCACCAGAGACAGAACAGATGAGGCCACCTGAACATGGACTTTCAGCCTCCCAGACCGTGAGCTACATAAACCGCTTTTCTGTATGCATCATCTAGCCTCTGACATTTTGTTACAGCAATGGAAAACACAGACCATGGGGGCAGGGAGGTGGCTCCTGGTGAGAGAGCTGATCTACTGCACTTAACTGTAAGACCCAAGCAACCTTTTTGAGCCTCAGTTTCCTCGCATGTAAAGAGGAGGTAATAGTAGTGATTATCTAATAGGGGTGGAGCGAGGGTGAGCTAAGAAAACATGTATAAAACACTCAGAACTGGAGAGGCGGTGTTAAACCTGAGCTTGTGGTTTCCCTGGGGGCAGCATTCTGAAGGGTGGTTTGTTTTGTTAATTACTATTCAATTTTAGCAAAAGTGAAAATTCGAAAACTTGTTGGTTAAGGTTATGCAGTATACTTTAAAATCTTATTTTAAGTCTAACAAATCGTAACAGTTGCTTTGAAAGCATTTTTGAATAACCCTTGGTCCTATGTGTGAGCTTCAACACTTTCAAATATCATACACATCTATAAGTATATCAAGTATATCTTAAATTTTTTAAAATAATTTTTTTATTTAAAGATTTATTTATTTATTTGAAAGTCAGAGTTACAGAGAGAGAGAAAGAGAGACAAAGAGAGAGAGGTCTTCCATTCTGCTGGTTCACTCCCCAGTTAGCCACAACAGCTGGAGCTATTGCCGAAGCCAGGAGCTAGGAGCTTTCTCTGGGTCCCCCATGTGGGTGCAGGGGCCCAAAGATTTGGGCCATCTTCTACAGCCTTCCCAGCCCATGGCAGAGAGCTGGATCAGAAGTGGAGCAGCCGGGACTTGAATCAGCACCCATATGGGATGCCAGTATTGCAGGCGGCGGCCTTACCCACTATGCCACAGCACCGGCCCCTAGATTTCTTCTTTAGATACTCTAACAGGCTACCCTTGTCAGAGATGCAAAGCCTCGGGCCTCATCCCAGCCTGCTGGCCAGAATCTGCACTTTCCCCAGAATCCCATGCCACAGCTGTGCACCAGAAAGCAGTAAACTCGCCAAGCAGAGCTGTAAGTGAAGCTTACATTTTCTTACATGCTCCAGCATAAACTCAAGGCACTTCATCTTAGCTTCATGTGCCGAGGTCAGCTATTCAAATACGCATTGTGAACTGGCTATTCTGTCAATCACCAGGACAAATTTTCTCATGAGTACATAAAGTATCAAATATGGATAAGTTCCTTCTTATACCTAAAATATTAAACATTGTAATTGTGAATTATCTCAAAGCCTTTGATTCTCAACTTTAATTATTTCTGGGCTTTGAGAGCTATTTATCTACTAAAAATAAACTATTTTCTCATTCTTCATAATTGTTAATTCACTGGTTAATTCTAACAAAAATGTGAAGTACTAATATCAATCCTACATAAGCTCTTTCAGAAAATAGAGCAAGAAGAATTTCCCAACTCATTCTGTGAGGCCACTGTTACCCTGATAAAGAGATCTAAAGAAAGAAGACTACAGACACACGTGTCTCGTGAACTTAGCTGCAAAAATTTTTAACCAAGTATCAGCAAACCAAATCCATCAACATATAAGCAGATTATGCACTATGACCAAGTGGGATGTATCCCACATGGTTTTGGAGGTTATCGTGTTAAGGTGGCTAGGTAGATTATAGCTTATGTGTATCAAGAGAGGCTGAAGAAAATCAGAAGTTTGAAAGAAAATAAACGCACGTGCAATGGAATGAGGAAACAAATCCTGAAAGGAGGACCCAGTCTGTCTGCCTTATTCCAAGGTGTCCTTGTCTGTCATTTATCAAAAGGAATTCACTGACTTGAGGGAGTGACCCAGCTGGCACAACAAAATTCAATCGCTGGATAGAAAGTGTTGTTTGCAGTGCCGGCATCACATACAGATGCTGGTTCGAGTCCTGGCTGCTCTACTTTCTATGTAGCTCCTTGTTGATGAGCCTGGAAAAGCAGCAGAGGATGGCCCAAGTGCTTGGGCCCCTGCACCCATGTGGGAGACAGGGAAGCAGCTCCTGGCTTCAGCCTGGCCCAGCCTAGCCCTTACCACTGTAGCCATTTAGGGAGTGAAACAGCAGACGGAAGATCTATTTCTCTCTCTCTCTGCCTCTCCCTCTCTCTAATTCTGACTTTCAAATAAGCAAATAAATCTTTAAAAAGAGTCATTGACTTTTCCATAGATAAAAACCTTGATGGCCAGTAAGTTGCTGAGGTGGTTTGCTTAGAGGAATTCCTTCCTAAGGTAATTGAGCTTGTGTTAAAACCCTGTCAGCTGGGTGTCCGCCATGTCCCTGGCAGCAGCTTGGAAAAATCCTCCTTGCCTTGTACCCAGGGGAGGGATTCCATGCACAGAAAGTCCTCCACCCGGTAGTAACCCAGAGAGGGTGCAGGGGGAGGAGAAGCAGAGGACCCATACTCTTGTCCATTAAAAACCCCAGTCTCAGAACAGACCAGGCTATCAGTCTCTTCTGAGAAACTCGCCTGGTGGGTCAGGTGCAGGAGTTTCTGTCAGTTCACTTTTCCAATAACCTGCACTGAAATCGCCTTCTCATTTGCTCGTTCGTCAGCCTCATACTTCGCTGTCAATGGTACAAGTTCCTGGCGTTCAGACCAGCAGTAACAATTGTCCCATGGAATCTTGGGGACTGCTATTCCCTCTCACGGTGTGGTATTCACAGACGGGACTCTGGATGTCTCTGGAGGCTTTGTCTAGTCAGTGGAAATGTTATGGGAAGCCATTGTACTGACTAGGAAATAGAAAACTACTACCATGGGTGCAATGAGAGGTGGAACAGGTACAAGGTGCAAAAGCTGTTTAAAGATGTCGAGGTGGCTCTGAGGCAACCAGGGACTCACAGTGACCCTCTAAGGAGCATGATTTTGTACCTGAGAAGGGAACAGTTATGATGGAACATTCCAGAAGGAGACAAGGGGGACTGTGTCAGGTGAATGTCTGTGTGTTCCAATAGAAAGGGAATGAGCATGACATCAAGAGGAGCGAGTGTCCTAGGAGAAAAAGGACCGTAAGGCAATGGAACTCCCAGACACACCCCAGCACTGTTCACTGGGCCCAGGCTTAGCAAGAACTGTTTCTCCTCCCTCCTGGGACACTCACTTTGAAATAACACTATCATAAAGTAATTATACTTTATTTTGCCTTTAATTAGAAACTCAAGGCCAGAAGAGGCTCCTTTCCACCACTTTGCCAAGAGGCAGAACATGGAGCCAACTCCCAAGGATTTGACAAAGGCCATACAGTACTTTCCCTGGCTGGACTCATTGTGGTTTTCATTCATTCTCAGATAGCTTTTCATTTCCTTCCACGAAGAAGGAACTTCCTGAGGGGTAAAGATAACAAGAGCCAAGTGGGGCGGGCAGACAGTTGTGTTAAAATGATACAGTGCTGAGTCTTCAGGGTCAGCCCTACGGACTCACTGGAACAGTTCCAGGCTGCGGAGGACGGAAGGAAAACGAAACAGAACGGGTGCGTGTGTGTAGCTGGCGATCTAGCTTGCGAGTCTAACACACGAAGTGCAGAACGTAACATGTGACTCTGGACAAATGGCTGTCCCACACGGAGCAAGGACTGCTGGGGCTATGGGGCTAACACACACAGAAACACAAACACTATGAAGCTCTCGCAAGCCACCAGCTTGTCCCCGCCCCCTCCTCTTTAGGAGAAAACTCAGGCTTGAGAATAAAGTGACTTCCTCAAGGTCACCCAGCTAGGAAGTGGGAACCTCTGAGTCTCAGGGCCGGAGTCTTTCAGGTTTAATTTGTGTCCTCAGGCATTTGCTGTCCACGAGCCTCATTTTCCTTATCTGCAAAACGGCTCCTTCGCCCCTGGGTTGCTGCAAGCCAGCGAGACACGGTGGAGCCAGTGAGCCCGCCTGTACAACAAAGGCTGGTTATAACCAACAAGTGAGCTCAAAGAAGAAACTCAGGACTCTGGGACCTCCCCAGGGGACTCAGCTAGCTCTCCCAGATCCAGGGACTTTACCTATTTCTTGGAACAAATCCCACCCGAACACCCCCACCCCCAACAGCCTAGGCAATCCCAGCGCTGCGCACGGTTACCTGCCCCGCGCCATTCCTAACCTGCCCGCCAACTGCGGGTTCCCGGGCTGCCTCCGCTGGAAATCAGAGAAAGGAGCCCAGAAGCCCGTTCTCTCGCCCAAGGAGGGCCCACGTCAGGTGCCCTCCCGTCCACCGTGGACCTCGAGGAGACACGACACGGGCGCGCACTCCCCGATCTGGTCACCGCCCCGAGCCGGGCAGCGCCCTGAGGACCGCCCGCAGCCTCCTCGCCTCCCCAGTCCTGCCTGGGGCGCTCAGCGAGGGGGAGCGGGGGCCGAGCGCGGGGCGGGGCTGGGCGCCCGGGGCGCGAGGGGCGTGGGGCCAGCGGCGCGCGCGGCCGGGCTTAAGAGCGCGGCGCGCGCCGGGCCGCGGGAGCTCCCGGCCGCGGCACAGCAGCCCCGGCGCCGGCGCCCTCGCCGCCTCTGCCGCTGCCGCAGGAAGGAGCAGACAAGCTCCCGCCGCGCCGCCCGCACCATGCCCCGCATAGATGCGGACCTCAAGCTCGACTTCAAGGATGTGCTGCTCAGACCCAAGAGGAGCAGCCTCAGGAGCCGAGCCGAGGTGGGAGCCGTTCCAAAGCCGCCTTGGGTGGAATTTTTCTCCCGGGTGGCGCGGGGTCTCCCTGCCTGCTCTGAGGGTGCCGGCCCCCAGGCCTCCCTTCCCAGCACCTGAGCAAAGGGGAAAGGCAGGCCGGCTCCCGGCCAGGGAGGAAGCGGCCCGACTAGGGCCTAAATGTGCAGGTGGGTGCGGGCGTTGGGTGGGCGAGGGGCGAAGGTGGCCGCTTGGTTTGTTAAGGATAGGGGCCGGGGACCAGAGAGGGAGGAAGAGGAAAGGCAGCCGCAGATTCTTGGGCTTTTTGGCGAACCGCTGCCGCTTCAGCATTGGGCTCTGCAGTGGGATTTCTTCACCCGTCCTACACGACCTGTCCCGGCGCGAGTTCAGGGGACCCCGCCCGGTGGCACTCAACGGTCGCATGCCCCAGAGACGCTGAAGGCGCGGGGCTGCGGGTGGCGGGGCGTTTTGCTGGTTGTGTGCACGACTGAGATTGGCGCCTGGGGAACAGGTGGACCCGGGCCTGGAGCAAGTGGTCTGGGGGTTGAGGGGGGGAGGAGGGAGGTCAGGCCCTGAAGGGCCCCCTGCAGTGGTGTGGTTCTGCAGAGAGAGCCCCGGCAGGAGACTGGGTACGCTCTGTTGCCTGGGCCAATGCGGTAAACAGGGGAGGCTGAGCTAGCTTCACAAACAACACCATAAATAAATCCCCTCCGCAGAGAACTCGGCTGCCCAGGCTGACTGCAGTGCCGGCGGCTGCTGCCAGTCCAGGGCTTGTTTGGATTAGGGAAGTCTCCTGCCTTAGCCAATGGCGACACCCAGTCACCTCCTGCCAGCCGCAGCATTGGCTGTGTGGAGCCCAATAGGAAGAGCTGGGGGAGGAGTGGAGAACCCTACGCAGGCCCGGCTGGGTATGACCGGGTGCCTGTCCTCTGTGGTGTCCTTTTAGGTGCTCAAGGGCTGGGCAGCCTCTGGAAACAAGAATAGTTTGGCTGGCAGCCCTGGATCTCCGGAAGTATAAAGCTGTGGTCAGATCTAAGCCAGAGCCAGAGGAAAGTGTGGGGACTCTGGGTGTATGGGTATTTTGGTGACCTCAATTTTGTTCAAAATTTGGTTAGAAGAGAGAACCTTGAGAAAAATCGTACTTAAAAAGAGATTATGATATGTATTTTCTGAGCAAGAAAGCCTTTGAAAACATAGAACGTTTAATATTTATGCAGTAGAATAAATTATTCCTTCCTGGGGAATAGCACAGTGGCACACTTGGTTTCATAATTCGGGCTGATTGCCATTGTTGATGCTGTCCCAGCAAGCAGTGGCACCTTGTGTTTTTTTTTGTTTGTTTGTTTGTTGTTTTGTTTTTTTTTTTTGTTTTTGTTTTTTTGACAGGCAGAGTGGATAGTGAGAGAGAGAGACAGAGAGAAAGGTCTTCCTTTTGCCGTTGGTTCACCCTCCAATGGCCGCCACGGCTGGCGTGCTGCGGCCGGCGCACCGCGCTGATCCAATGGCAGGAGCCAGGTGCCTCTCCTGGTCTCCCATGGGGTGCAGGGCCCAAGCACTTGGGCCATCCTCCACTGCCTCCCCAGGCCACAGCAGAGAGCTGGCCTGGAAGAGGGGCAACCGGGACAGAATCCGGTGCCCCGACCGGGACTAGAACCTGGTGTGCAGGCGCCGCTAGGTGGAGGATTAGCCTAGTGAGCTGCGGCGCCGGCCACCCTGTGATCTTAAGGTACACATGACTCTGAGGAGTTGGTGCCCTTGACAAGGGATTTTCCCCTTTGTAGGAGTTTCTCAGCTGTGTGCCTGGATTTGCTCTGCCTGGCTGCCTGGCTGGCCACTCGCCTGTAACCTTTCCTTGCCTGGGTAATGAGGATCTAGTTAAGTCTCTGTAATCCCGCTCCAGCATTTCCTCAGTTTGCTTCTTGATGCCTGAGATTGTAGGCAGATACGAACTTTTCACGGCACAAACCATAGCATAAAATGTGCACCTTGGGAGAAGTGGTAACTGGATGCAGACTTGAAACTGCAGAGTAGCTGGGGTGGGTGATTTGGTGAAGCAATGAAGATGCATAACACATATTGGGGTGTCTGGCTTTGAGGCACAGCTCTGCTCCCCACTCTAGCTTCCTGCTAATGCACACCTTGACACCTTGAGAGGCAGCGGTGATAGCTTGGGTGGTTGGGTCCCTGCCACCTACGTGGCAAATTTGGATGAAATTCCCAGCTCCTGGCTTCGACTTAACACCAGTCTCAGTTGGGGGGGGGTCATTTGGGGAGTAAACCAGCAGGTGGGAGACCTCTCTCTCCTCTGCCTCACAAATGAATGAATAAACCTCAGGTTTGAGTGGAGCCAAGAGACAATGCACACCCTGGAAGTGCTTCGGCTGCTGAGGACAAGCAGTGACAAGTACCATGAGTTTTGATAAGAGCCAGGCCCGGTGAGCGGTCCCCCACTTGGAAGTTGAAATTCCCCTGCAGGGACTTTAACAAGCCTTACATGGAAAGAATTTGAAGTTGCCTCCCAGAGGCATAGGGCAGAAGTTAGAGGTGGCCCAGGTGGCCTTTTGGGTGCTGCAGGTAGGCAGTCATCCCTCAGCTCTTTAACTATATTAATCCATCGCTTCAAGAGCCCCAGCTACGGAGGAGTCGAGTTCCACAGGGCTCTGTGGGGACACCAGGGTGATCTTTACAGAGGAGATGACGTGTCTATGGATTGAGGCAAGACCTTTGGGAAGTTTGCATCCTTCCTTGACTTTCCCAGTGTCCCTGTGATCCTTTCCTGGCTCTGACATCCCGCTGAAACACAATAAAACCGACTGTGGAAGTTGGGCATTACGGAGAATACGACACTGTTTGGTTTGCTTAAAACTGTGGATTGTTTTCACAGTGGTCCTGTAAGAGGATTTCCTAGCCCCGTGGGGACAAGAGCAAGGCACACTAGAGAGAATAACGGGGTGAGAGAAAGGAGGCCTGGGTTATAGGCGGAGCTCTGGGGCTAATTTATTACCTTTGCAGCTGTGTTAGTTTCCTGAGGCTGAAAGTACCACCAAGCAGGTGGCTTGAGCAACAGATCCTTAGGTCTTAGAATTCTGCGGGTTTTTTTTAATTTTCATTTCTATTTATTTATTTATTTATTTATTTTTACAGGCAGAGTTAGACAGTAAGAGAGAGAGACAGAGAGAAAGGTCTTCCTTCCGTTGGTTCACTCTCCAAATGGCCTCTACGGCTGGCGTGCTGCGCCGATCCGAAGCCAGGAGCCAGGTGTTTCCTCCTGGTCTCCCATGCGGTGCAGGGCCCAAGCACTTGGGCCATCCTCCACTGCCTTCCCGGGCCACAGCAGAGAGCTGAACTGGAAGAGGGGCAACCGGGACAGAACCGATGCCCCAACCGGGACTAGAACCTGAGTACTGGCACCGTAGGTGGAAGATTAGCCTAGTGAGCCGTGGCGCCAGCCAGAATTCTGCTGTTTTTAAACTTTATTTTGAAGAGGGGAGGGAGATCAAGTGGATCTTATTTTATCCACTGGTTCCCTCCTCAAAAAACAGGGAGCCAGGAACTGAATCCAGATCCGAAGGTCCCAGATTAGGATGTCTGCAGAATTGATGGGTTCCCAGCCTGTTTTTCTGTCTAGCGTTGGTGTGCCTTCATCTCCACCTGGTGTCCTTCCTGTGTCTGTGTCTGATAGTCCCCCCTTTAAGGAAAACATCAGTCATCTTGAAATAGGGCCCACCCTGTGACCCCATCTTAACTTGATCCTCTGCAAAGACCCAATTTCCAAATAAAATCCTGTGCGGAGGTAACAGAAGATACAACTTCAGCAAGTTTCTTAAGGAGAAACAACTCAACCCCAAACAGCTCCTGTGGAATTAGAGGGTTTGACTCTGACTTGTTTTTACTCATGCATGCGTCAGAACTGCCTAGGGAGACACTCCAAAATACACTGTCTATAGCACAAAGGTGCTGATTCATAATGCTGGGGAAGTCGTGCTGGGAAGATCATGATGTGCACACAAGTGCTCGGGCCTGGCCCCTTGTACAGCCATGCAGCTCACTGTTGAAGCAGCAGCGGCCGTGAGCTGCTTGGGAGCCTGAGTACTGAAGGTGAAGCTTCCAGGGTCAGACCCATGTCCAGAGTGGTTCTGGAGCCCACCAAGAATTGCCCTGCAGAATGGCAGCTGTCAAAAGCAAGCTCATTTTTCCCCTTAGCTTGCGTTAGTTTATTGCACACTTGTTGATCCTCTATGACTACAAAGATGCAAGATGCTTCCCTTACTCAGGTGGGGGAGAAGGTGAACCAGTCCTATAATAAAAGAACTGCTTTGCTCTCTTTGCGCCACAGTTCAAGGTAAAGGACCTCATTGCTGCTTCCCTGATTGTACCCCTCTCACCTTGCTGGGCTGGGTTCACAGGGTTGGCTGTGCTTTGGGTACTTGGGATGCTGGCTAAACCTCCCCAAGTCACTTGGAGCCAATTCCAAGGCCTGCATGGCCTCTTCTCCAGGTGTGTGTTCGAAAGACCAGGTGCTGCTGGTGTGCTCATCTGCAACCCCAGAGAATGGCTGATCAGAAGCTATTCATGGAAATGTAACTGGGTGTGCAGGGAGCTTAATGTATAGACTTGGGGTGCCTGTGCAGGTGCACATGAAGATTTTGTTAAAAGGGAAGAGGGTGTGTCCTGGGGGCTCAAGGCTGGCTTCCTCATGCCACCCTGTTCTGGTGCTTCCAGGTCTTGAATGAAATGACTCTTGTTGTAGGATAGGGCATATTTTATGTAGCAACCTACTGGCCTGACTCCTAACACTGAATTGTTTTAGAGATCCATTTGTACTTAGGAGCCCTGGAAGTCTTGGGTGGTTCAGCTGACTTTAAGCAAGGTGTGTTTTGAGAGCTGCAACAACTTGTTTTTGAGGTGAGATGGGAGTTTGTTACTTTATGTTCCCTTTCAAACAGGCTTGGCACAGGGGAAATTTGAGGGTGCTATATTTGGTGCCTTGACCAGCTGGGGAAGATTAAATGCCAAGTGTTGTTCCTGGGAGGCTAGAACTCTTAAAACATCTCTCTGTCTCTGTTTCAATGAACAACTGTTTGTTTTGTGTGCGTGTGTGGGTCTGGGTAGATAAAGTTGGTGGCCGTGCTTTGTTTTCTCACTCATAGAATTTTGGAAAGATTGTCCCTGTGGAGAAGACTCAAGAACTCAGGACTGTTTCTTTGAAGGTCTGTTTTGTGTATTGCTAATGGGTTTTGGAGTGCCAAGAAACCTCGTGGTAATCTCAGCTGGGTGCAGACACTAGCCGCTATCCCCAAGGCATCTTGTGTGGGTATGTGAGAGCAGGGGGTGAGAGAGCACTTTGAGACCAAGGAACTCCATTTGTGTTAAGCCTGCAAGCCAAAATGATAGAAGGCCATTAGCACAGAAGGTTGCCAGCCAAGAGTCCTTTAGTTACCTTAGATAATGCCCACGTAACTGGCTTTCCTGAGATAGACCCAGGAATCGGGAGAAGGGAGGAGATGTCACATTATGTTCCTACAGCTGCAGTGTCTCATATCTGCTTCGTGATTGCTGTGAAAGGTCAGAGTAATCATATTTATGACATCATTTGCTCAGGAAGCCTTCTGGCCACGGAGCCCTGCGTGGAGAAGCAAGAGAAATGAAAAGGCTAAATGGCTTGTGGATTCCCCAGTGTTTTCTGACCAGATGCTAATTGCAGAGTAAAAATTGTCTCACAGTAAAAGGGGGGTGTGGATAGAATGGGTAAGTGTCCTCAGGAAGCCAAGGGCAAGATTTTGTAACTGTGTTTCTACTGCAGTTTACCTTGGAGAAACACCCACCTCTGGGACTGTCTGTATCAGTCAACATACAGCCCAAAAAGAAACAATGTGGGATATTTAAAATGGGGAGTTCCTGGTTCTCAGACCTGGCTGTTGCAGCCATTTGAGGAGTAAACCAGCAGAGATGCCATCTCTGTTACTCTGCCTTTCAAATAAATAAGATCAGGGAATTTAATGCAGGGCACCTGACACGGATGAGATGCCAAGTGAGATGTTGAGTGCCCCAGAGTTCAGCAATGGTGAGAAGCCTTCCCCACGCTAAGGAAAGGGCCAGTGGGAGGCACTGGTCTCCCCAACAAACTGGAACCAGCGACAAGAAGGCCTCTCTGGGCACAGGGTCTGGAGCCTGCAGGGGATGTGGCTGCTCTGGGGAAGTTGCCCACCACAGAGGGAATCTGGGAGGACCACCCTCATCTCTTCACGTTTCCCATTGCTATTCAGTTGGCCAAATTCAGCCAGAAATGAGCTTGAGAAATGGAGCCTGGGAGGTGGGATGTGCTCTGTGATAAGAGTGGCTATGGGACCTGCCTGTGATTGAAAAAGCAAGTCTGACCTGGTCCTGGTGCCCTGCTCCCAGGAGAGTCCCCTGTGGTAGCAAAGCTGCTGTTCTGGGTTCCTGAAAGCTGATGGCCATAAATACCCTGCAGTAGGAGGCACAGGAAACTTGGAAAGCCCTCCCTCCAGTGGTTTGCAAATCAGAGGAACATGTGTTATATGCATGAGCGTATGGCTGCAACGTACTTTCCCCCGCTCTTTGAAAGACACTTATAATTACAAAATGGCCGTCAGGGTTGCATGGCACGGCATGAATTGTTTAGAGCTCACTGCAGGGTGAATTTGGAATGTGGCTCTAGGGGAAAGATGAGAACTGCTGGGATTCTGATGGGAAGGAGGACGTGGTTGGCACAGAAGAGTGGAGATTTTCCCAGGAGGGGAATAATCTCTCCAGTGCTGGGAAGTGAAGAAACAGTAGCCCTTGTGTGGGTGTTTAGGGCTCATGTGAACCAGGCTGGGGAGAGAACATGGTTGTGGGGAAGGCCGAGGTTAGTGGAGGAGGAGAGGGTGCTTCAGCGGGAGGTTTGGCCTTCAGGTAGCCTGTGCCTTCTACTTCCAGCAGCCTTCGGGGGTGCCAGGGAGTCCACTTGAGTTTTCTAGTTTCTCTTATTGGAAGAGGAGAGAGAGAGCAAGAGCATGAGAGAGATCTTCCATTTGCTGGTTTGTTCCACAAATGCCAGTGACAGCTGGGACTCAGCCAGGCTGGAGCAAAAATCTAGGAATTCAACCCAAGGTCGCCCATGTGGGTGGCAGGAACTCAAACCACCTGAGGCATTACCTGCTGCCTGGGAGGGTGCACAGTATCAGGAAGCTGGAATCCAGGCTGTCTGATATGGATGCAGGCTTCCCAAGCTGTTTCTTTGCCACTGTACCCAATGCTTGTCCACTGTTTGAGGTGTTGAACTTTGTACAACCCATTACGTGGTTTCCTTAGAGACCTAAGATATCTTTCAAAGATGTCACCCAAGCCCTGAGCAAATCCAGGGACTTCTCTTGTATTCTTCCCACGCTCTGCAAGTTCGAGAAATTATGCACCTATCACGTAAGAGCCAAGCACTCATTTCTTGTCCCTTTTTGGCCAACAGGTGGATCTTGAGCGAACCTTCACGTTTCGAAACTCGAAGCAGACCTACTCAGGGATTCCCATCATTGTGGCCAACATGGACACCGTGGGGACGTTTGAGATGGCAGCTGTGATGTCACAGGTGAACCAGTGCACTTTCCTCCCTTTGCTGCTGCAATATGAACAGGTTGTTAGGAGCCTGCCTTAGGTTTGTACACAGGGAAGAGGAGAAAAGGGAGAACGTGGGTCAGTCCCTTCCTGGAGTCTGGCTGTCGCAGGAGACTCTTCTTCCTCTTTAATCAGAAGATGGACAGTGTGCACTCTGCATTCCATGACCTGGTCTAGACCTGCATTCATTTCTTCTGTGAAAATGCCCATGATGGTTTTACAAATTGGAGGTGCATGAAGATGTTAGGCAGCGTGACAGGTGCCATACTTCAAAAGAGTGTCATCGCTTTAAAAATCAAGATAGAGATGCTTTGTATGCAGTCAGTGCTATAGTATTTGTTGCATAATTAGGTAGAAAACATCTAGTGAACACTACTGGGTATAATATATCTCTTAATTCTTAACTCCATGAGGCTGGTTCCTTTCCAAGACAAGGAGCCTGAAGCAGAGGTAGAGAGGAAGGGTAACTTTCCCCCTGGGCCCTCAGCCAGGTAGATGGGGAGTCCAGATTCAAACCCAGACTAATTCTGGAAACGGCTAAATTTACCTGTCCACTTCAATTGACAGATTGCTGGACCAGTCTGACTTCCTGTAAGGGAGTAGCTGATCTCCTGGCCTTGGGAACAATAAGGGAGGAACCATTGGGGGCAGGACCTTTGTCTCCTGCATCTGCATGTGAGATGTTTCTCACTGATGGGCTCAGGGGGTGTGCATTTATTTCTGTTGGTAGTGCCTGCCAAGTGGAAAGATAAATCCAATTAGTTGAGAGAGCGTCCCGCTGTGGGCAGCAAGCCTCTCTGCAGGAGGTGCTGGGATTCGTTATTAGCCAGTGATTAGAAGGAGAGGATTCTCAAACAAATTATGAGCTCAGAAAATGCAGTAGGGGATGGTCTGTCCGACTCCATGATCACTTGTATGGTCTGTCAGCCTTCAGCCCCCACAGAGCTCCAGGCCAGAGCCTGACAAATTAATTGCTGGAAGAATGTGATATGATATTTTTGTCCCTCTGCCTATCCCTTCCTCTGCTGTCATCAGCCATAGCTATTAATGAATTCTGTGTTTGTGTAAAAGTGGTGGTGGGGGGAGAGAATTGGGGAGCAGTAAATTGCCTGGCTGATTCGTATACCAGCTGGTTGATTCATATACCAGAGTATTAGTCCATGAAAAACTCAGAATTTGCTCACCCTTCCCCTTCTTACGGGGTAGTCTCAACCCTAATGAAAGGGTAAACACTGGGTGAGCCCTGTGTGGGGACCATGCATTCTTACATCTGGAATCTACAGAACTAGTGCAAGTGAATAAAGTATAGAGCCTTAGACTGAGAATTGTAGGTGGGGAATAGGCCAGCCTGGAGAAGTTAGGCGAGAGGTGTTTGTCCAGCGGAAGAAGATTGAACTCTGTAGTCGGGTCCAAGTCTGACTGTGGCCTATGACCCTGAATAGCTAAGTAGTCGCTAAGTTTTTTAACTTTAAACTTCTTAACCTCCTTTTTTTGCCCATGAAGCTAATCATTAATACCATTTGTAGTTTTTCTGAGATTTATTTTTTGGAAGATTTATTTTTTATTTTATTTTAAAGGTAGAGTTACAAAGAGGCAGAGAGAGAGAGAGAGAGAGAGAGAGAGAGATCTTCCATCTGCTGGTTCACTTCTCAGTGGCTGGAGCTGGGCCCATCTGAAGCTTCCTCTGGATCTCCCATGTGTGCAGGGGCCCAAGGACTTAGACCACCTTCTGCTACTTTCCCGGGCACATTACCATGGAGCTAGATCAGAAGTAGAGCAGCTGGGACTCGAACTGGCATCCATATGGGATGCTGGCACAGCAGGCACAAGCTTTACCGGCTATGTCACAGCACTAGCCCCTGTTCTGAGGTTTAAATGAAGTTATGTCTGTGCAGCATTGGCACAGAGGTAGCAAATGCAGGGTCATGGACTTGGGATTTCAATGTAGACCTGAGGACCTCCCTCCCCCAAGAATACTGCCTGCCAGATGGGTTTAGCTTCAGCAGGAAATATCCAGGTGTGGACCCCAAGAAAAACCTTGCAGGTACAAGATGTAGTTCGAGAGGGTTTGTTAAGCAGTTGTTGTGGGCTGGCCCTTCTGGACAGGAAACCTGCTGCAAGGTTTTCCTTCTTATTTTATTTTATTTTTTTCTACCTGTTCTGCTCTTGGCTGAACTCAGGTGTAGGCAGGAGCCAGGGTGGGCTGGCCAGGCCTCTGAGAGATCTCCCCTTGCCTTTTGGCAGAGCCTCCCATGTCCTGGATGCAGTGGTATCCACTCACTAGCATGGGAAACATTGTGACGGCTTTGTGATTTCCCTGGTTATACCTTTGTGTTTGGCTCCTAGGAACATGTTCCAAGCAAATTAAGCATGAGCGGCAGGCAGGCCAAATGCCTTTGTCTTGTTGGATCCCTTGGCTGCCCATCCTGATGCCGTGTTTTGTTTTCTAGCACTCCATGTTCACAGCAATTCATAAGCATTACTCCCTGGACGACTGGAAGCTCTTTGCTGCAAATCACCCTGAATGCCTGCAGGTACGCGCTGGTCCCATTACAAGTGACAGGTGCTGTGTGGGGTTGGAGGGAGGCCTTTGGGTTGTGCAGAGGGTTTGAGGGAGCAGACAGGTGTACGGATGGATGGAGTGGTTCTCCAGCTGGATGATGTTGGCTGGGATTTGCCCAGCAGGCCTGTTCCCCAGGGTGTACTAGGAGTTGCCTCTAAGGAATATCTGTGGGCCTTTGAAAGGTGAAGGGTTATATATGAGGGTCCTTCAAAAAGTTCATGGAGAAGTGGATTAAAAGATAAGTTTAGGCCGGTGCTGCGGCTCACTAGGCTAATCCTCCGCCTTGCGGCGCCGGCACCCAGGGTTCTAGTCCCGGTCGGGGGGCCGGATTCTGTCCTGGTTGCTCCTCTTCCAGGCCAGCTCTCTGCTGTGGCCAGGGTGTGCAGTGGAGGATGGCCCAAGTGCTTGGGCCCTGCACCCCATGGGAGACCAGGAGAAGCACCTGGCTGCCATCGGATCAGCGCGGTGCGCCGGCCGCAGCACACCGGCTGTGGCGGCCATTGGAGGGTGAACCAACGGCAAAGGAAGACCTTTCTCTCTGTCTCTCTCTCTCACTGTCCACTCTGCCTGTCAAAAAAAAAAAAAAAAGGAAAAAAAGATAAGTTTATTGTAGTGCAAACAATTAAATCCATGCACGCAAGCTGTCTTCAGAGAATTTATAGAAATGTGAGTTATGAAAAAGCATGGCTTGAAAAAAAAGTTTTGCACCAAAATCAACTTATCTTTTAACTCCATGTTTCTATGAAGTTAAATTTTTTTCAAACGTCCCCCGAGAATCTGAGAAAGACAGGGAGAAAGAACTCTGGTTTAGTCCCCAAATGCATGCAATGGCTGAGTTGAAGCTAGAAGCCAAGGACTCAATCCAGATCTCCCACATAGGTGGCAGGACCCCAGTCACCTGAGCCATCACTACTACCTCCCAGGGTTCTGCATTGACAGGAACCTGGAGTCGAGAGCCCCTGAACTCCAATATAGAGACATGGGTGTCTTATCTGCTACCTGCTCCTCCACAAACTTCCAAAAGTGCCCTTATATCTTGAGAGCCTAGGGCAGAGTTAATATTCCTGCCAGGTATTTCAAGTGGATCCGATCTGAACATGCCTTCTGGCAGTAGAAGAAAAAATTAATTATAAACAAGTTGCTTTGGGATTGAGTAGACAACATGCTTGCTGGAAACGCTTTTGTTAGAAAGACCAGAGTCTCGAGGAACCTTCATCCGCTGCTGGTGGGAATGTAAATTGGTGTAGTTGCTTTGGAGAACAGTGTGCTTAAAAGTCAGAGTTACCGTACTACCCAGGAACTCTGTGTCTAGGTATAGACACAGCAGAAATGAAAACACAAGTCACACACAACTTGCTAACAGTCATAGTAGCCATACTCACATAGCCCAGAAGTGGAAACAACCCAGGTGCCTGTCAGTGGACGAATGGATAAATAAAATGTAGTCTCTCCATTCAGTGTAATGTTACTTAGCCAGACAGAGGAATGAAGTTCTGATTCATGTGACAAGGTGGTTGGACCTGGGAAATACCCGATTAGGTCAAGCCAGATACAGAAGGCCACATGTGGTTCCATTTACAGGAAATGTCCAGAATAGGCAGGCCCCAAAAGACATAAAATAGGTGAGTGGCTGCCTAGGCCTTAGGGGATGAGGTTTCTGGAGTGATGATTAAAGAGATGCAGCCGCTGCTTTGGGGAGTCATGAAATGTTCTAAAATTGATTGTGACGATTGCACAGCTCTGAATATACCAAGACATCATTTAACTATGCACTTTGGGTGAACTATATGCTGTCACTATAACTCAATAAGAGTTAAAAAAAAAAAAAAAACCAGACCTAACAACAAAAAGTCCCTCAGAAGACACCTGCATTTCCTACAGGTGCATTTGGGTGATCCGGAGCCAGAGACAGCCAAGGGCCACAGCGCTCTCAAAGAGCCGACGGTCTGTGGTTAGGAATCCCTTCATAGCAGGCTGCTGCTGTCACTGCGTTTCAGTTGGATGTGCATTTGGCTGGCCACGTTGTTTGGGAGATAAGTTCAATAGGGGGATGACTCTATAGGAAGTCCTTTTTTGCCATACTGTGTTCAAATGAAGTTTAAATACTTGTTTTCGCTTTCTCCCCCTTCTCCCTGAGCAGCCATCATTTAGACTCTGAAATGCTCTGAAATCTAAACCATTTTTGAGCACTAAAAGTCTTGAAAGGCATTTCAGGTTTCAGACTTCGCTATTTTGCGAATACTCCAAAACGCTAGAAGCTGACGTCTGGAACCCTGGCACGTGTCTGGCCCCGAGCATTTTGTATAGAGGATGCTTACCCTGAAGAAGTTGGGGAACAGTGATTTTCCATTTGTTTGCTCATCTCTCTCACCCACCCCCAAACCCACTTTTTAAGGTGAGCTCTTGGCAGTGTGTTCATTGGAACCTCGGCCTCCGTTACTGAGGGCGAAAATTTGATTTCCTGCCCTGCCCATGCCCTCCTCCAAATAAAAGGCTAAATAAAAAGGGGAAATGTAGAACAAACAGTGGCACTGAGGTCCAGACTTGTGCAGGTGGATGCAGACAGGGATGTGCAGAGCCTCAGGTATCCCACACAGAGCTAGCACCCTCAGAGAGCGCTGGGTAGGCCCTGGAAGCTCAGCTCTGCGTGGTGGCTGCATTGTTGAGATGCTGGAAGATACCCTAGAGGAGATTAAGCTAGGGCCCTCATCTGTGGCTGTGGGTTCACTTAAAGGATGGGGCAGGGGGTGGAGGATAACCAAACAATGAAAAAGAGAATCGCACAGTTCAAACACAGGTATTTCTCCTGCAAGGTGAGAGTCTGACCCCTGGCTGAGTTTGGCTGAAGGCACGGAGTAGTTAAAAACGGGTCTTTACCAAAGAGCAGATTTTCTGAGAAGGCAGAGGCATGGTCTTCAAGCGCACTGGGGCTGTGGGGACGAGGGTATCGCAGAGAACGGTGGGGTGGCTTCAGATTTCTTTTAATATAGTTTTTAATTTGAAAGGCAGAGTTACAGAGAGAGGGAGAAACAGAGAGGTTTTCCGTCTGCTCATTCACTTCCCAAATGGCCGCAGCGGCTGGAGCTGGGCTAGGCCAATCTGAAGCCAAGAGCCAGGAGCCTCTTCTGGGTCTCCCACATGCGTGCAGGGGCCCAACCACTTGGGCATCTTCCGCTGCCTTCCCAGGCCGCAGCAGAGAGCTGGATCAGAAGAGGAGCAGCCGGGACACAAACTGGCACTCCTATGGGATGCTGGCGCCACAGGTGGCGACTTGGCCTACTATGCCACAACACAGGGCCCCTAAGGCTTCAGATTTAAACACTTGCAAATACAGTTGCAAAAGGTCACATCAGGCTCCTTTGTTCTTACACCATAGGAAGTTTTGCCCCTTTAATTGGAACACACTGCAGCTGTTTGTGCAGGTTCAAGTTCACATGTGTGGTCCTGTTTTACAGTGGCCATCCCTTTTCTGCACAGGGAGGGTCTCAGACCCCTAGTGGGTGTCTAGGACCACGGCCCTAGTGGGTGTCAGACCACGGATGGTACCCAACCACGTGTTTTCCCTAAACATATACACCCATGATGAAGTTTAACTTACAAAAGATTTAACACAACTAGTAATGAAATAGAACAATGATGACAGTATACCATTAGAGTGTTTGAAGTTGTTTCTGGAATTTCCCATCTGATACCCTCAGATAGTGAGTGGGGACTTCTGCATAGGCAGTAGAGCTAGAAACAGGAAGAAGTTTTTGACTTTTTTTTTTGAAAGAACCACAGAGAGGGGAAGGCAAAGACAGAAATCTTCACTGGTTTGCTCACCAAATGGCCACAACAGCCAGGGCTGAGCCAGGCGAAAGCCAGGAGCTTCATCCAGGTCTTCCATAAGAGTGCAGGGACCCAAGGACTTGGGCCATCATCTGCTGCTTTCCCAGGCACATTAGCAGGGAGCTGGATCATAAGTGGAGCAGCTGGGACTTGAACTGGTGCCCATATGGGATGCCGGCACTGCAGGCAGCAGCTTTACCCACTACACCACAGCACCAGCCCTTGTGGTGTTTGGGACTCCCTGTCCCACTCTCTAAGTGAAGTGTTTGGGGGATGTGGCAGCTTTGGCGTGAGTTCACTGACCGCCTCTTGTTCTATGGGAAAATTCTTATCTCACCCGTTGGTCTTCCTTGAGTTTCCTGATACCACACTTGTACCAGCAACTGCACAATTCAGTGTTCCACACAGAGAAATGGAAGCTAAGAGAAACCTTTTTCTGAATATTTTAGAGTCTGTGTATTTTAGTCTTGGTTTAAGGATCTGGGCAGTTCAGCAGTGGGAAGGGGGGGTGAGGTGTTAAAGTCTAGGTCCTTGAATGGACAGATCTCCTCCACCTGTGCTGTAGCAGCTTCCTTGGGCAGGTCCCCTGTGTACTTGATTGGGTGAAGACGCTGGAGCAGGTGCATGCGTGGGTACCATGGTTCATGTCTGTCCTCCTTGATTTTGGCACAGCACGTAGCCGTGAGCTCGGGCAGCGGGCAGAGTGACTTGGAAAAGATGAGCAGCATTCTGGAAGCCGTGCCACAGGTTAAGTTTATTTGCCTGGATGTGGCCAATGGATATTCAGAACATTTTGTGGAATTCGTGAAACTCGTCCGTGCCAAGTTTCCCGAGCACACCATCATGGTAAGTATGCTGCCACCGTCTGGCGATGGGGAAGCAAAGAAGGTCAAGTGTGTGGTTGGAGGGCACTGGATTCTCTTCAGAGCTTTTGGTGTCTCCTTAATGGAAAGGTTGAAAATAATCCTCAGGAAAAGGGTAGGCGGTAGCTATGGGAATCTGAAACTAGGTGTCCTACGTAAGAAGTAAAATCCTGATCAACACCATATAGGATGCTGGTTCCTCATTTTTGCTAAAGACCATCAGCTGTTGGTTATCGTGTGATCCCTTTAAAACAATGGTCTGTCACTCCTTAGCTGGGAGTCTGTGAGGATACTTCAGAAAATTCACAGAAAAATGTAATGGAAAGGTAAGTTTGTTGAGGTGCACAGAAGTTCTAAAATCCATGCGTAGTTTTTTCCCCATACGCATTTGCTAGGGCTTTTGTGAAGACCCCTCATTTGCATAGACTTCACATTTGCACACAAATAGACTTAATTTTTTTTTAGAGATTTATTTGGGAAGCAGAGTTAAAGGGAGACAGAGATCTTCCATCCACTAGTTCAGTCATCAAATGGCCACAACATCTGGGGCTGGGCCAGCCCAAAGCCAGGAGCCAGCAGCTTCTTCTGGGTCTCCCACGTGGGTGCAGGGGCCCAAGCACTTGGACCATCCTCCACCGCTTTCCCAGGTGCATTAGCAGGGAGCTGGATCAGAAGTGGAGCAGCCGGGACTCGAACTGGCACTCATTGGCTGCCAGCATCCTACCGCTGGCCCCTGAACTTGTAATTCCATTTTCCATAGACTTCATGAGGTATTCTCATGTTAAAAAATTGGAAATAATGTAACGAGGCTTCAGTTGAACATATTTATGCCCTCCATGCCACACCCCTTCTTTTTTATTTTTTTTTTTTAAAGATTTATTTTATTTATTGGAAAGACAGAGTTACAGAGGGAGGTAGAGACAGAGAGAGGTCTTTCATCGCTGCGCTGATCCAAAGCCAGGAGCCAGGAGCTTCTTCCAGGTCTCCCACATGGGTGCAGGGGCCCAAGCACTTGGGCCATCTTCTTCTGCTTTCCCAGGCCATAGCAGAGAGTTGGATCGGAAGTGGAGCAGCAGGGACTAGAACCAGCGCCCATATGGAATGCTGGCGCTTCAGGCCAGGGCTTTAACCCGCTGGGCCACAGCGCTGGCCCCGCCACACCCCTTCTTGTCAGTAGATAATTGTGCCCTGAGCTGGACTTCCCAATATGAAGATTTCACGACAGGCAGCTCAGTGGTTGGGGAATTGCTGGGTGGGCTGTTCTAGCTGCGTCTCCTCCTTTTCCGTATTTTCCTAATCACTTACACCTTCACAAGTTAGTATTTATGACTTCCGGGAAAGGTGAATTTCCAGGAAAAGGAAATGGAAGCTCCAGGGTTGAGATGGGACTTCTAGAAAGTTCTGTGCTGTAATTATGCTGTCTTTACTGGTCTACGTCATCAGAACATTTAGTTTGGCCACTAGATAATTTCTCTCCTTTAAAATTTTTTTTTCATTTTTACCTCTTTTCTCTGCATATTTCATTGCTGTAGGAAGCTGGGAGGCAGCTGTTATTTCCCTTTATGGGCCTGGATCTTCTGTTGAGTCTAAGAACTTAGAAGATAGTATTTTTATTTTTAACTTTATTTATTTATTTTTTTTGACAGGCAGAGTGGACAGTGAGAGAGAGAGACAGAGAGAAAGGTCTTCCTTTGCCGTTGGTTCCCCCCTCCAATGGCCACCGGCGGCCGGCGGCGCTGCGGCCGGCGGCACCGCGCTGATCCGATGGCAGGAGCCAGGTGCTTCTCCTGGTCTCCCATGGGGTGCAGGGCCCAAGCACTTGGGCCATCCTCCACTGCACACCCTGGCCACAGCAGAGAGCTGGCCTGGAAGAGGGGCAACCGGGACAGAATCTGGCGCCTCGACCGGGACTAGAACCTGGTGTGCCATCACCGCAGGTGGAGGATTAGCCTAGTGAGCCGCGGCGCCGGCCATAAGATAGCATTTTTATACTTTCCAAACAAATGGGAGGAAGGGATTAAGAATTGTCCCAAGGTCAGCCAGCTGTTGCCAACGTTAGGAGTGGGGGAGGAAACAGCAGGTTCATCTCCCCCCCTTGATGGTGCTGCCGCCTTCATTGTGCGCTGAAAGCTGTGAAGCAGTTAGGTCTCTGCCCGGTGTCCCTGGGGCGGAACGGGACCTTTGCAGATGGGGCTGCCAGGAGCGTCTTGTGCGCCACTGTTTGTGTGGTCTTTGCCCTGAGTTCTGCACAGACGCCTGAGGCCTCTCTGATTTCCTGATGGGGTGTCCCGCCCAGAGCTCCTCAGTCCTGGGACACTGAGGGGAGTGGCAGGCTGGTCACCAGAGAGACCTAACTGTGATCCGAAGCTTGGAGCTCGCAGCCCCTCAGTCCCTGCCCATTCTCCAGGGAGGCAGAGAGGCTGGACATGGGATTAATCCCTTCTGCCTGTGTGACGGAGATGCCTAAAATCTCAGCAGGATGCGGTTTAGGGACTTCCGGGTTGAAAGTACATCCATGTGTTGAGAGGGAGGTGGACCCCAGTTCCAGCAGGACAGAAGCTCCTGCACCTGAGACACCTCCAGGCCTTACCCTAGGTACAGCCTCATCTGCCTGCCTATCTGTATCCTTTCCCCTGTCCTTTTTTTAATAAACTGGGGAACGCGTTTCCCCAAGTCTGCCTACTCTGGCCAACTCATTGAACCCAACCAGAGGGCTGTGATTTGCCACCAAGCCAGACAGAAGTTGTGGGTGACACACAGCTAGTGATTGGCATCTCAGATGGGGTGATCCTATGGGACCAAGCCCTATCCCGTGGGGTCTGATGCCACCTCCAGGTGAGGGTGACAGAGTTGAGTTTTGCCGTAGAGGCCCAGATCTGATGGCATCCACTGGAGAATGGCTTGATACATAGAGACCGCGTGCCTCCCCCACCTCCAACCCACCGAAGTGCTCTGGAGGTGTGGAGTGTGCGAGTGAGGATCTGCCTTGTGTCAGACGGGTACCTGCTGTAATCTGAGAGGTTTCTATCCACTTCCTCTCATCTTTACTACATCCCTGCCAAGCATGGGCGCGATTTGCCCAGGTGGACTGCAAGGCAGGACTCCTAAGTTCTGAACGCTTCTTCGACAGTCGAATTTTCATGAGCGTTGAGGGGCAGAGTTGGGGTTGGAAGCCAGCTTGGTGTGAGTGCCAAGACCTGGACAATGTCCTTTTCTTCTTCCTTTGGCCCGCTGCAGCCCCAGCTATTGTGGGGGCATTCGGGGACTGAACCAGCAGATGGGAGCTTGCTGCCCCTGGCTGTGCATCTCAAGACGAAAGATGAACTTGAAGTCTCTGGAACTCTGCCTGGGGCAGTGGAGGGAGCTGGACAAATGCTTGCGGAGTGGAAGAGGAGTTCCTTGCGTATTTCTCTCTGACTAGGAGGTGAAGACAGGGCCCCGGTAGCCATCAGCAGGACTCTCGGCTGGCTGAGCTGCTGCCGGATCTTCCCAGCCCGCCACTCTTGCTTGAAATGCTCCGGAGACGGGAGGCGTTAGTGAGGTGGGAGCAGTTCTTCCTGTTACTGCCGCCGGGCACAGGAGTAAGTGATGAAGTGCCGGGAATCAGAAATGACGTGGATTTAATGAGGGAGGTGATTTAGTGGTTCTACTCTTTTTCTTTAGTAATTCGTTTTACAAATTGTGAAATAGGACTCATTCAGAAAAGCCCATCAGGATGGGAGTTTAATGAATCACAAAATAAGCATCCTTTCAGCATCCCAACATTTGGGAGCCCTGCCATGTCTCGGATAGAAGCCCCAAGCTGACCTTCATGGCAGGTGTCTGGTTTGGCCACGTACTTGGGCATTTCTCAATGACACGGCTTCATTTTGCAGGTGTTGGCTCCTTGTCGCCGTGGCAATGCTGCGTGTCTTGTGGCTGCTTTCACTCCGTCGTCTGTGTTGCTTTATGTCACCTGTCCACCTGTCTGGTACTCCTGGAGCTCCTCCTAGACAGCTTACCTGACTTGAGTTTTTGCTCCTCTCTCTTTACTTTGCAGTTTATTCTAAAAGTGTTAAAGTGGCGAGCTTCATGCCCTTGCCAGTCCATTTGTGCTATTGTAAAATAAAATAAAAAAAACCCACACTTTTATTCAAATGGAAAAAAAAAACTATAAGCTGAATGGCTTTTAAGCGACAAATTGCTTTCTCACAGTTCTGGAGGCTGGAAGTCCAGGATGGGGGCACCTGCGGGTTTGTTGTCCATGGACATCACCCATCCCAGATGGTGCCTTCTTGCTGTGTCCTAAGCCTGCTCCCTGGGGCCTCTTTTGGAAAGGGTCCTAATCCCATCTGTGTGGGTTCTGACCTCATCATCCACTCACCTCCCCGAGGCCAGACCTCCTCCTACCATCACCTGGAGTGCTCGGTGTCAGCGTGGGAATCCTGGGGGATACAACACACAGACCCTGCACCCCAGATTGGCGGTCAGTGCGTGCCCCTGAGCTGAGTCGCACCGGGGCAAGTGTGTGCCCTGGATTCTCACTTCCACCCCCTGTGATGATGAGGGAGGGGATACTAACGGCTGGAGAATTACTGGGCATCAGACAGGCTGCTGTTTGGACATGGTGCCCTCCTGACAGTCATAACCCCTTGAGGGCGCCTGCCATGAAAACTGGGCTGGAGGTGGAGAAGGGTGGGGGTGGGGTGGGCTTGTTTCAAGAAGAGGGAGTAAACATCTATTGCTTTTATAATTTTTTTAAGTTATTTGAAAGAGAGACAGATACTCCATTTCCTGGTCATCAGCTAGGGTTGGGTCAGGCAAAAGCCAGGAGCCTGGAACTCCATCCAGGTCTCCCACATGGGTGGCAGGGCCCCAGGTACCTGCTGCCTCCCAGGGTGTGTATAAGCAGGAAGCTGGATCAGAAACAGAGGTGGGACTTGAACCAGAGACTCCAGTGGGGGCTATGGGCATCCCAAGGGGTGATTTCAGCCTCTGCATTGA